CTCTCACGTTGGGGTAAAGAACCTGATTTGTGGAATAAAAGCACCAGATCTGCCAGGAGAAAGCTGCGCTCCTCTCCTGGGCGAGCATTAAACCAAAACGGAACACAAAGCTGGCAACTTGCTTTCCTCACTCTTGTTTCTATGACAAGGCACTGAATGCATGGGGAGTTAAAGGAAGCCTAAGCTCCAAATCAAAGACTAAATGAAAACATTTCTGTTATGAATACAGATAACCTGTTCTTGGGTTTTATGACTGCAGTGAGAAGCTTTTAAGCATAATTCTAAGAGTCATTTTAGGAGGGATCCAAAAAACTTCCTTAAAATCTAACTTGATCTTGCAACATTTCTGGGTGGCAGCATCAGACATTTATTTTCCTTGACAAACATCAGTATTTCCTCTCCAATCCAAACTCTTTTTTATTACTAGGAGAGACCACGAGCTCCTGTTAAACCAGCCACTGCCTCACTGCCCACTGTTTCACAGCTTCAAGGAAATTCTCAGCAACAGCTTCAAGGAAGCCCCAGCAACAGCTTCCAAGGCAAACCTCTTACTGCAGGCACCCTCCTGACTTACTGTGTGAAGCTTTCTGCTGGGCTTCCATTTCTCTTTGTTCAGCCCTTGCCAAGCAAGCCCATGCTTGCAGAGGAAGGATATTCTTGTGCCACAAGGTCTCATGGGCTCTGAAGCTCCTATCCCCACTCACCAGACTCCCCTGGCAACCTGCTTTGTGCACAGGATACACCTGAGGTCAATTTAAGCACCTTTCCAAACAACACCCAGGTGTATTGTGTGTGTCCACAGATGTCCTGACCTGAGTTTTGAACGTCAACCAAAGACACAGAGCAGTGTTCTTGCTTAACAGTGAAGCCAGTTAAGCATCCTGGCAGCATCAGGTGGAATACTGCAAGCTTTTCTTGTTTTAGGAAAGGATAAAATACTTACAAATAAAAGACAGTAACACATGGTGCTGTAGCTTTACCTGAGAAGGGTGCGTTGTGCTGGTAGAACATGCACCATCAGAAGCACCCCTCCAGCTTTATGTCAGTGCTCAACCCAGTAACAAAAAGCAGCTGTTTCTCCCCATTTAGCTGTGTGTCACACTGCATCTGGACCTTCAGAAAGAGATGTGGAGACCAAGCATTAGAGCAGCTTCCTGTGACCAGAGCTCTGCTAAAGTTCTTAAATGGGAAATACATCCAGAGTTCTCCTTTCATGTCCAGCCTCAGACCAGGCTGATTTTGATCTGGAAAACCTCTGTCTTTTCTGACTTTACCTGAAGGAAGTGGAAAGGGCTGGTGGGCTGCCTTGTGGAAAATTGATAGAAATCAATAATAAAAATAGGTTTGCCTCTCCTCAAGGTGCACCACTCGCAAGCCACCACCCACCATCCACCCTGGGTGTCTTCTGACATGGGGATTGTGGGGGAAGGTGTAAAGAAACTGGGAATTAGTGTGGGGATAAACGACCCTGGTAGCTGGCTGCCAATGCATCTCAGTGCCTCTTCTTGGGAGCCTAAAATTCACATGATGCAAAATGCAGCTCCTCTTTCATCTCCATCCCTGCACACACGTGCAAACCTAGTTAAATCAAGAGAGGCATTTTTAAAATCACAGGCTAATCTTAACATGTTCATAGGCTGGAAGGATCACTGTGAAACAACCCAGACTGCAGAGGAGTTGTCCTTTCTACAGATGCTTTCTTAATTAATATAAAAGATAAATCTATTTACTAAAAGATTGGGTTGGGGCAATCTCAAGCACAAACACAGGCTGGGCAGAGAATGGATGTAGAGCAGCCCTTAGGAGAGCAGCAGGGAATTGGAACTAGATGAGCTTTAAGGTCCCTTCCAATGCAAACCAGTCTGTGATTCTATGATACTGTGATTCAATGACTTGCAGTCCATGCCAGACTTTTGCACAGCACTTTATTTTTGCCCAAAGTTTCCTTACAGGAATTGTTTTATTGTCTTTCCACAGAACAAGAGAGAAGGCAGCATCAAATGTTCTTGTGCTACCCACACTGTTTACATGTAATTTTACTTTAAAACACATTACTAGTTTTATGCACTTTGTCATAAGGCTACATGGCATCACAGAGATAAGTGTGAACCCCCTGTCTCTTGCATAAAGTGTAAGTTATCAGTGGTGATAAAAGGAATACACTGGCAGCAGCATTGAGACTGACAATGAAATTTGTTACTGAGATGATAGAGACTGGGAGCTTCTCCAGGTCTTTCCACAGGACTTTCCAATTATAAGTGGAACAGAGCATGTCTTGAGATGCTAACCCCATGCTGCATGACAGATTAGTAAAACATGTCAGGAAACTAATTCGAAATGGTCTCAGGCACTCCCATTGGCCCTTTTGCCATCAAGAGAGCTGAACTGGAAGCATGGATACACTACACTAGGGTGAAGAAAGCCCTACCATCGTGGAAAATTGTCAATAGGGACATGGTAAGACCTCAAAATCACCTCTGAAATATGCCTAGTTTTTGGTATCCTTTTCAAATCTGGGGAGAACAGATATGGATTTGGATGTTAGTGGGAGCCAATTTTGTGGTAAAAGCTAAACCAGAGGGAGAATTAGTAACACATGGACATCTGTTGAAATTGGGATGGCATTCTACTCCAATTCCAGACCTTAATCCCGATGAGATGGCAAGTGAACCAGGAAAAAGATGGGGAGGAAAGAAATAAGAAATAAAAAGCAAATAGAAACAGACCAATTGATCTATTTGCCAAGAAAAACCCAGGATGAAAATCTGATGTTAGGATTAATGAAAGAGTTTGCTAATTTGCACAACGTGTCAAAAATGACTGCTCGTTTCCCAATTCCAAGAGCAGTGGGTGAATCACTCCCGTGAGGAATTTTAACTTTGAATCTGACAATTTAAAGAAAACATGAAACCACACCTTGTGAACAAAAACCTGTGGCTGCACGGCAACACCAAGCCGAAACCATTTGGAAACAATGGAAATTCTCAGGTAGTGGGGCTGACTGTGAGAAACTGTTTTTACCAAAATAGGGATATCTAAGACTGAGGGATAGTGTTCCTATGATGAACAAAGAAAGACAAATGGGAGTCAAATGATCATGGAATGGAAATGCAATGAGATAAGTCTGATACAAAAGAGCGAGGCAAACTGGGACTCTGGTGGCCTGTGGCCATTTTATCTCCATTTGAATACATGGCTAAGGCACCTTGGTGTTTTATTTGGGGTGGAACGACTTTTGCAACCTGGCCAAATGTAAAGGATAGGAGTAGTTCATGGTGAGAAAAGGAAAACTGAGTGTCTTGGTGGAAGTGTAAAAAGGTATCTAATTGTAATAGCACTGATATGGCGATCCAGGCTAGTCCTCCTTTAGCTGCTGCTTTAAAATATGGATGCTTGTGTAGGGGCCTTAGGAATGACTTCAAAGTGGCTGACACATACATACCCAAAAGAGAAGCAATACTTAGTTGCAAAGAAATCTGCACTCCGGAGCCCAGGACGCTTAGTGTGTACAATGGGTGATGGGACCTGGACAACTCATTTCCTTTAGATGGTAAAGGAAGACAAATAACATGAGGCACGACAAGTCCATGTTCAATCTGGAAAAGAACTCCGCTTAGAAGAGCATTATGAAATTCAAATTGGAACGGGTGAAGAGGTCAGAAACAGATGAAGAATGGAATGAACCTTTAACTGGAGTGAAAGCTGGTTGGGCTCTGGAGTCTTTGTTGACTCCTTTAGCAATATAGGAGAACAGGGAATGCATCTGTCAACTAACAGGACAAGTAGAAAGGCTAGCAAATGCAACCAGTAAAGATTTAAGGACTTGAATTTACAATTACAGGCAACTTCAAGGATGTTACAAAACAGAATGGCTTTGGATATGCTCTTAAAGAGCATGGGGTTGTATAGAAAGATAGAATTGATCACTGTTGTGTACACATTCCGAATGTGACTCAAGTTGTGCAGCATGACTTAGACTTCTTGGAAAAGGTAGAAGAGAATACTAAAAGCTTCAATAGGCCATACAAGAAAATCTTCAAGGGGTTAGGATGGAATTTGAGTTCATGGATAAAATCACTGATGAGCACTGCATTAGCCATGTTGATAATCTTTTTAGTAATTACTTTGATCTATTGTGTAAAAACGCAAATATAGAGCAACACTGCATTTAATGGTATGACAATCCAAGCAGTGGCCGGGCAACATGACAAACAAGAATAAATTGCAAAGACCCCTGCTAACATACAATGAATGATTCCCACCAGGTAATAAAGATAACTATTATGTTAGAATAAAAGTATAAATATATAATAAATAATTATAAAAAATATATAAATGTTAGCATGAAAGCACTGAAATGATTTTAGAAACTTTACAAGGGGGGAAACGCCAAGCAGGGTCGGGCTCGGTTAGCACTTGGATGCGAGACTGCCTGGGAATCCCGGGTGCTGCAGGCTTTTGCCAGCCCATAGGGGACCCTGCGAGCAATGTCAGCCTCGTTTTTGTTGGCGGCGTGGTGCAGAGGGTGAGGTTCGCGGGGGTCCGCCTTGCCTCGCCCCGCTTTGCCTTCCCCCATTTCTTCTTCAATCTCAACACATCCTGGCTCTTCAGCCTCACCCACAGCGCGAGTCTCCAGCCCCTGCCGGTTTTGCTTGCTCTGAGCCTGAAACAGGGAGTCCGAAACAGGCAGCCCAAAACCACACCGAGTACCTAGATGTGACCAAGCGCCTCAAGGTGCTTAGAGTCCCAAACCAAATTTGAGGGGGCGATTCGCCTCCTGGACCTCCCCGCTCTCGCGATGTGACAGCTGCGCAGCGCCTTCCCGTGCATGAACCCTCGTTATGCTGTAAAGGCAACGCGCTCCCTGACTGCCAGGGCCAGCCCGACACGCAGAGCCCTGTGCCCGCTCCCAACCTTCCTCCCGCTCCCCCCCTCCTCCTCCTCCTCCTCTTCAGCACACCGTACCCCCACAGTTACACCTCCCATGCTCCCGCGCGCCCCCCGGCAGCCCTCGCGCGGGGCAGGAAGCGGAAGCGGGGCGGCCAAGGCGACGTGTGAGCCATGGCGGGGACGCTGGAGCCGCATCTGGAGGCGCTGCGGCGGGAGCTGCTGGCGCCCGACCCCACCGTGCTCTCCGTCCTCCTGGCGCTGATCGCCGTTATCGTCACACTCCGTGAGTGACGGACCCCGCGGCTCTGTGTATCCCCCTCCCCGCGCTGATCGCGCCCTGTGGGCCTGCCCGGGAGCGCCCGACTGAGGCGGCGGCGGTGCCCGCGGCGGGCTGAGGTGCTCTGTGCTCTCTCCTGCAGTGATCTGGAGGCTGGTGCAGGGCAGGAGGAGCAGCCGGAAGGCGGTGCTGCTGCTGGGCCTTTGCGACGCCGGGAAGACGCTGCTTTTCGCGAGGGTGAGCGGGGAATGGGGTGCTGGGAGCTGCCGCGGATGGAGCCCCAGGCGGGGAACTGCCCACCTGGAGGAGGCGGAGCTGAAAGACTGGGAGGCACAGTCTTCCTTCTGGGCTTAGCAGTCATAGATTGGTTTGGATTGGAAAGGACCTCAAGATCATGCAGTTCCAGCCCCCTGCCATGGGCAGGGACACCTTCCGCCAGACCATGTCACCCAAGGCTCTGTCCAGCCCAGTCTTGAGCACAGCCAGGAATGGAGCATTTGCCACTTCTTTGGACAACCTGTGCCACTGTTTCACCACTCTTGCAATAAAGAACTTCTTCCTTACACCTAACTTGAATTTCCTCTGTTTGAGTTTGAAACCATCACCCCTTATCCTGTGACTGCAGTCCCTGATGAGTCCCTGTCCAGTGTCCTTATAGGCCCCCTTCAGATACTGGAAGGCTGCTATGAGGTCTCCACACAGCCTTCTCTTCTGCATGGCTGACAGACCCAAATCTTAACAGCCTGTGTTCATATGGGAGTTTCTCCAGTCCCCTGATCATCCTCCTAGCCCTTCTCTGGGCTTACTTCAACAGCTCCATGTCCTCTTATGTTGAGGACACCAGAACTGTACACAATATACTTTATGTTTTTCTTTTAATGAGTGTTTTTTAGGAAAAAAAAAAAAAAACAAACCCAAACCTGAAACTGTTTCATGCATATAAATTGAAATGGATGTCTCAAGTCTTGAGATATCAATGGATATCTCAAGCCCCTTACAGGTCATTTCAGTTTCTGAGTGGATGGAATGCGGTGTCAGTGTTCCTCCAGCCTCCTTCTCCTGAAAATGACTTTTTTTTTCCCCACAGCTGTTGACAGGCAGATACCGGGATACCCAGACTTCGATAACCGACAGCTCTGCAGTTTACAGAGTCAGCAACGACAAGGTGAGCAGGCAGGTTTCTGGCTGTAACTTGTGAAGGGTTGCTGCAGCAACTGGTGTCTGTCTTTTTCTGGTCTCTGTGCTAAACCTGGCTTGATGGGTTTTGTGCTGCTCAGGCTTCCCAGCTCGAAATCAGTCTCAGGTTTGGTCTGAGTGTAGGATAGGGTTTTTCTGGGTGATCAGAACTGACAAGGCAGGAAAATACCAGGAGGTACTAGGGGCTCCTCAGCGCTGCAGGTGCTTTTTAATTTGCCAAATGGTGAAATTTAACTGAAAACCAGGTCTGTGTATCATGTTTTGAAAGGGGGGCAGTGTGTGGTGGGTTTTCCTGTAGAAGAGCAAAAGGAGCTACTTTTATAAGTGGAATGAAACACACAGCACTTTGGGGACAGTGTTGTGCTTTGGAGCAGAAGGGAGAGGCATGAGGGAGCATTGTTCTGTCATATTTGGTTGGTTTACTTGGCAGTAATTTCAGTTTCTCCCAAGAAAATCTGAAATTAAAAAGCAGGCTTAAAAAGAACCTTCCAGTTGAACTTCACGTGGTCTCAAAATTTCAGGTGATAGGCTGCTACAGACCTAATCAGTTTCAGTTTATGGCAGTTTCTTTCATTTCAGAAGTGTTTCTTGTGCTGGGTGCACATGTGGCAGTGAAAGCAGCAAGCTGGCAGCACGATATGTGCTGGGGAATTGAAGTAGAGGATGGTTTTGTGGCTTCTCTATGGCAATCTTCAGTAACAGTGTTGATAATAAGAGGCTAAAAATTTAGTGAAGGGAAGTACAGGGTAATTTTTGTGTCTCTAAGATTGAGCAGACGAGTATTTAGAGGGGGAGAGAAAGGGGAATGCTGCAAGGTGGACTCCTGCTTTTCGATTATTAGTATTTTTTAAATAGTAGACAAGGTTTCCATTACAGTCTGAGAGCAGTGGGTAGGTGGGCTCTTGGGTAGTGTTCTCTTCCCCTCTTGAGAACGATGAGCATCATCTTGAGAATAGTGACATGATCCTACTTGGCCCCATCTTGATCAGGAGTGTGAGAGAGGCATTTGTGCTCTTAAATGTCCTTGCTGTGGCTGACATGCTGTGGAAAGGGAACCATTTGCAGCTTTCAATTTAAACAATCTCTTGCAAGGGCATTTTTGTGTTATTCCCATTAAAGTTTTGTGTGTTTAGGTAGACTTGCAGTAGGGTAGGTGGTGTGCATGAACAGATAACTTGATTAAGAGGCTGTAAGATCAGTATTCTGTACTGGGGACTTGCAGGACAGGAGTTCATGATTTTGCTGCACAAAGATCTACATGCTGTCACTCCACGGATGGTGTAAATCTGCTGGTGTACTGATGAAGCTTTGGCACTTGCACTGCATGCATTATAGTTGTAGTGGGATTGAGCATTATCTTTTCTCTGCAGTCGTGCTCTGTCCTCTCAGGAACTGTGAATGGTTTGCTGGTATTGGTGCCGTCCTTACTGAGTCCTGGCTGTGAATGTTGTTCCTCAGCATCTTTTTTGCCTGTCAGAATTGGGCTGGCTGTGTGTGTATGTGAACCATACATGGGTTCATAACGGGAAGAGTTACATGCTTCTGCCTGGTATAGGGATTCACTCACCCACTGCTGCCTCAACACCAGGCTAACTGGAATCCACTAGCAGACTGGTTTTCCCCAGTCTGCGATCACTGGGGATGTAGGTGCCCCTAGATTAAGTGTTGTTAATGCCTTCTTGCTTTTGTCCTCAGAGTGCTAACGTCACCTTAATAGACCTTCCAGGCCATGAGAGTTTGCGGCTTCAGTTCTTGGAGAGATTCAAGGCTGCAGCCAGGTAACTTGGAGGAGATTGGCGGGGAAGGAGGGAGCAGGTAATGTTTTGGAAAGGGATGGAAAATGATGGTGCAGGATATGCTGTGAGCTGGACGGGATTCCCTCTGTGTGGTGGTGCCCTGAGGGACAGAGCTTTGTGATGGGGTAGCAAGGCTTAGTTATTGTTCTGCTTTCCCACTTACCTGTGTCTGTAGTGCATCAGGAGGCAGAGCAACTGCAGTGGGGAGTTTAGGGGATGTGGTATATTCCTGGGGCAGAGAGGAGAAGATTTTCTGCTGGGGCTGGACATGGGGTGCATTTCAAGACAGCACATGCTAACCTGCTCTTGACTTGGATGAGATCATGTGTGGAAACACATACCTTAGCTCAGGCTGGAGTACTTGTAGGGGAAGATGGTTGCAGAACTTCACACCCAGCACATGTTCTTCCCTCTTTCCTCCAGAGCCATCGTGTTTGTGGTGGATAGTGTGGCCTTTCAGCGGGAGGTGAAGGATGTGGCAGAGTTCCTGTACCAGGTCCTAGTTGATAGCACTGTGCTCAAAAATGCACCCGCGCTCCTGATCGCTTGCAATAAGCAAGGTATGTGTGCTGCCTTGTAGGCTGGACATTGAATTCAGGCCTTGAATTGAATGAACCTTAGGGGTTCGTGCCATAGATGCTGAATTTCTGAGGAGTTGGGATTTCAGCAAAATGAAGGCTGGAACTTAGTTTTAAACTTGGACTACTCAGTAGGAACGTTTCTACCAACCACTGGAAGAATTCGTAGGCCAGGTATATCTTAATAGCTTTGCAGAGAAGCATCACTTGGGAGAGCTGCAGCTTTTTAGATGAGCTGAAATAAGGCAGGTGGCTTTCTGCTTGTACAGAATTTACTGTCTTCCTGAATCAGCAGGCAGCTGAAAATGGGATTAATTTGCACATAATGAATTATTTATACACACTTCATATTTTCAGTGTTAAAATCATACAGCCATTTAGCTGGTGAGATCACATATTATTTTCTTTTGACTGGGCTATCAGGAACATCCAGTTACTGGAAAGAACTAGATTTTCAGATCCCTACGGCTTTTACAGTGGAGATGTGGATCCCTGTATAACAATCTGAAGCTTTTGGGCACTATCAGGTTTGGTTTTCTTGGTTATTTAATGCACTACTTCACAAGTTTCCTGAGGCCTTCATGGCTCCACACGCCATAGGTTAAAAAGTGCTGTGTTGAGGTCTGTAATGCCAGGACAGGTTAGAATGCTAGGCTTGTCGTTGTGATATCAAACCTCATCCTTTCTTTGAATCAACTTACTGTCCAGCAAGAATAAATTAATTCCCTGCATTGTATCAGGACTCTGTGTTGCTCCCATTCACATCTGCAAACCCAAGCTCTGGCATCCCTTATCCTAGTGCAGACACAGCCATTGTTCTGAAAGATTCTGAGATTCTAAAAGATTCTAACAGATTCTAAGAGAAGATAACATAAGATAATAGAAGAGATTCTAAGCGATTCTTATAGATTCTAAGAGATTCTAAGAGAAGAGAATGTAAGGTAATACAAGTCCTGGTAGCTCTTAGGACTGCACAGTGTAAGTGTGCCTTACTGTGCCTTTAGGAAGAGGTACCAGGTACTGATTCCACACATAAAACCAAAGAGCTGATTTCCTTTTCTTTTCTCTGTCTAGATGTCACAATGGCAAAATCAGCAAAACTTATTCAGCAGCAGCTGGAAAAAGAGCTGTAAGTATGAAACTGGATCTTAAACCATGTGATTCTTTCTGTTTCTTACCTCAGGGCCCAGTGAGCTCCCTTTTAAGCTGCATCTAACTTCATTGTAGAAAATGAGCAGTCTATTTTGTCTGTTTAGGCATAACCAGGATGAGAGAAGATTGCTTCTTGTTAAATCATGCAAAAAAAAGCAGTAGGCATAGACAGTGTATGGCCTCCTAAAAGCTGTGGGTTGGGGAAACAACATCCCAGTCCTTTCCTAAAAGCTGCCATACCTAATTCAGCAATACCTTCCTTGCCTCGGGCACTGTCCTCTCTCAGGTACAGCCAGAGTTGGCTTCCAGATGTCAGACTTTCTGTGAGTGGTGTGACGATCTCAGTAGCTCTGCTCAGCTGTACTGGCATGGGTTGGATTTTTTTTCAAGGCTGCTCTGACTCAAAAGGGCTTGGCATGCAAAGCAGAGAGCTGGGGAGAGAACCTCTAGTTTTCCTGTTGTAACAGGCATTGCAGGAGTCTGGGACCCCATATTGGTTCTGTATCCATCCTCTAGGAAGGACGTTAACCTGGGAAGAATGATATATGATCTATTGCTAATTTCAAGTTCTAAGAAGAAGTGGAAGGAGGAGAAAGTGGCTTATAGACTGTGCTATATTGTAAGCTGCCACTCTGCAGCTGTACTTTCTAGCAGGTACTTAAAAGAAGTGGCTACAGTGCCTGCCTCTGCCTGTGCCTCACAGGATAGAACCGTGAGACCATCTACCCTTGGTGTAACTGGTGTCCTGCTGACAGAGCTGGGTACAAAACACCTCAGCAGCCATGGTGTAGGTAATGTTTCCCTGGTCCACAGTTCTTGACACTTTTCCCTTCTCTGTCTGCAGCAACACTTTACGAGTGACCCGCTCTGCAGCTCCCACAAGTCTGGATGGTTCAGCCACTGGGGGCCCTTCCCAGCTGGGGAAGAAGGGCAAGGACTTCGACTTCTCGCAGCTACCCATGAAGGTGGAATTCGTGGAGTGCAGTGCTCGGGGCAGCAAGGGAGAGGAGGGAGATGCTGACTTTGAGGGTCTGGAGAAATGGCTGGCCAAGATCGCCTAAACGGAGAAGAGCAAGGCTGGAAGGGAGAGTCTTGGAGAGGCAAGACACTTGACCACTGAAAGGAAAAAGGGGTCCTGAAGGACTCAAATCTGGTCTTGCTTTAGAAAGAGGAAACTTAACTTGGAAATCAGCATTGTGGTAACTTCCTCTGCTGCTCAAGGGCTTGTGAGCAACATGACACAATTGCTGGTGTGATTTCCTCTGTCTCCATACCGCACCATTGTTTTTTTCTCCCCTCTTCCTTTGTCTTGTTCTGGGATGCTGACTGTCTGGGCTTCTGTGTTTCTTTAATCTTTCATTTGGTAGTTGCCAAGCAAATTAGGAAGGAGTGCATTGCCAAATGAGTTTTACAGATTGGAGTCTGCTTATTTTCTTCTTACTTGGTTTAGCATTGCGACCCTGCTGCCTCTTGGAACTGCCAATCACCTCCTGATTCGGAATTCCTTCCCCAGCCTCTCACTCCTTAGAAGCACTGTTCACATTGCCTGTGCTGTCCTGGCAAAGGCACAGACTCTCAGTTAGGCAATCATTGAGTATAAAATGGTGTTTTCCTCTGTGTCTCCTACCTTGCTGTTCTTCCAAAATGGTGCAGTTTCATTTCTGTGGGACTGGAGTGGCCTATCAGATACCCCAGTGAGGCTGGCAGCTCTGCCTTTGTCACTGTGCTCTGCCTGTGTCCAGCTGCGGTGTCATATCTTCAGGTGATTTCCACTGTTGGACAGTTCTTGGGAGTTTTTATTTAATGAGGGCTATGTCCTAAAAGCTTGTTTCACTCTGCTTCTCCTCCTATTACTTCAGACATGTATGCACACCCTCCAAGTGGCAGAGTTTATAATAAGGTCTTAGCTTGTAATCATGAGATGGGCAAGTTTTCACATTCATACCTACAGTATGTGTGAGATGTGGCATGACAGGCATTTGCTGTGCAGTCCCCTGCCTGTCTGCTGCTCCAGTGACTGTAGCAAGATCTTTTCTTGTGTGTAATTAGTCAGTAGTCACGGCAAAGAGAGGGAAAGTCAAGGAGCTGCTAGGGAGGTAGTGTGATTCTTTCTCCTGAGGAAGATGCTCAATAAAGAGGAGAAAGAAATGTTTTTCCCAGTTAATTTTCATTTGTCTCTGGTGTTTAAAACCAAAGTGGCTGCTGAGTGTGTGTGATCTCAATCTTGCAGGGAAGATTCATGGAATGCCTGTAGCTGTCTTGATGGCTCTGGAGGCTGCTTGGAGCATTGGAGGGCTCTCATTGAGCATGCTTCTGAACTGTCCAAGAGACATTTGCACTCCTACTTCCTATGTTTCCGTGAGGAACATTGACTATCCAAAGGGAGATCTTCCCACAGCAGTGGTGGTAGTCAGATGTGAGACAAGAGCCTGGTGCTGTTCATTCAATTTCCCCTTCTTGATCAGCCTTAAAACACAGTTGCCTTGCTCAGCAGCTTCACAGAGCTTTCTGCTCTGATGGGGTATCATTTCTGTGCTGCACCTATGTGAGGATGATTGCTCTCCACACTGTGAGGTCCTATGGCATTGACACATCCCCTTTGTTCTTGATGCATCCCCTTTTGTTTTAGGGTAGGAAAGAGTGGCTGGCTCCTGGTAGATTCTTTTTGTCCTTTGCAGGTTCCTCTGCTCTGTTTTGGTGGTCCCTTCATCACTCAACTGATCTATTGTGTTCATTTGCTTTCCGGGGAATTCTCTGCCTCACTGTAGCATTGCCAAGTGTTAGGAGTGTTTGGAAGAGCAAAGACAGTCTTCAGCAAAGACTTGTGCTTGTAACAAAGCATTTCTAGTCTTTTGAACCCAGTGACTCTTCTACTATCCTTGCAGGAGGTGGGGAGGGTTATATTTACAAACGGGTTATATTTACAAACTGTTGTATTTCCTGCAGCCAGAATATTGTTGGAACATGTCATGCTTTGAATTCCTTTAGCTGGAGATCCTTTTTAGACTGCCTGCTTTGAATTCATGATGCTGAAGTGACAGTATTGCTGTTTCTTTGAGTAGTTACTTTGCTTGCAAAGAAAGACCTTCATCCTTGAAAAGCAGAGGCCAAGCACCAGCCTCTGCTTGAGTGAAGTGGGAAGGTAGCATGAGGCTGTGGTTGCTTTTAAGTTATTAAAAATATTCCTTAAACTTTTTTGTTCTTAAGTGTTTGTTCTCAAGACTTGTTTTTGTCTGTATTTGCCTTGATTCTTCTCAGTTGTGTCAAATCTGCATGGATTGGGGCTTTCCTTCTGCTCAGCATTGATGATATTAGAGATCAACCTCCTGCTTGGTAGCCAGGTCTGTGTTATCAAAAAGCAGTGTGTTATCCACATGCAGAGCTTTAGGTTTGTTTTGTTTTGGGGTGTGTATTTAATCCTTAGTCGGAATGTTAGATAGTTGATCTGTGTGGTGTTGTCAGCGTGCTGGAGGGCAAGGATGGGCTCCAGAGGGACATTGACAGACTGGAGAGGTGGGACCATGTGAATCTCATGGAGTTCAACAAGGCCAAGTGCAAGGTCCTGCACCTGCGTCAGGGTAATCCCAAACGCAGACACAGGCTGGGTGGAGCAGCCGTGAGGAGAAAGACTTGGGGGTGTGGGTTGAGAAACTCCCCATGTCGCCTCTTGCCTGCAAATGGTGTAGGCAGGGTGCAGAGACCTGGGGGCTGGCACAGCCTGCCTGCTCTCTACAGCCCCTCATCACTTGTGGAGTTATGTGGAGGAACACATGCCGCATCTGCTATCGTTTCTTCACCTTGGCCAGTGAGGAATGCACTTAGCATCTGCCAGGATGTGACCAGCAGACACCCCCACCACTGGGGACAACTCTCAGGGTATGGGGGTGTGACCAGCAAAGCACCACAGTTGGAAAAGTGACCTTTATTTAGAAAAAAAAAATACAATAAAGAGCAACACCCCCCCCCCCCCCCCCCCGTAAACCCCTGGTGATAACTTCACATAACTTCACATGTGCACTGTCCACGTTGACCTCTGCGAGGGGTGTGGGCAGGGAGAGACACGGGGTAGACTCAGGGTTGGCAGTTGTCTCCCCTGCTCCCATCCCAGCCAGGAGGGCATTACCTGGCTGGAAAACATCACACCGGAGCAGGGACCGTCGCCCACAGCAGGCACTTCTCTGAGTATATAGAATGGGGCTGTGATCCAGTCCCCATCTGCCTCCTGTTCCAAAGTGATGGGCAAGGTGCAGCTGAAGAGCCTGGGAGAAGCTGGTCCCAGGATGGGGCTGGGATAGAGCACCCCTCACTGGGAGGATGGCCCTGTCACGGGCTGCAGGAGAGGAGCTCAGAGCTGCTAAGGTGAAGTTGCTCCCTTAGGAGGAAAAACAAACCCAAAAGAGACAAAGAAGTGGCAGTGGGTAATGGGAGGTGTAGAGTCAGTCCTCGGGTGGGTTACACCAGCCCTGCTGCCTTCTCCTGCACATTGTACTCCTTACTCCTCTTCACCTTCCAGCTGATGAGGGCCAGGAGGATAGTGCCCACCACCTTGTAGCCTATCTGCAAGCCCAGGTATCTGTTGGAAGAATAGCAGGGAGACACCATGTCTGGAGGTGGCACCTCCCAGCTGGCACCAGGCTGAGCTGGGGATCATCCCTGTGGCCATCCCTGCTGGGGACATGTGGCAGGGGTACCTGTTGCGGAGGAAGTCGTTGTTGTAGTAGGCACAGAACCGGCGCTGGGTGCACTGCTTCTGCCAGTAGATGCAGGAGGAGTCGATGAGGGCACCGAACATGGCCGGAGCTGGCAGCCAGGCTTTGGAGAAGAGAGGATGGAGTCAGGCTGCCCATGCTGCCCCTGCCTGTGTGCTTTGCTTGCTGTCACCAAGAGGGTTCAACACCTCCTGGGGCTCAAGCAAGCCTCTGAGCATGCTGCTGCCTTCCCCCAGCTTCCTTAGGCTACGGACACTCACCCAGCAGTCTCATTAGTAAGAACTGGACTCCAATGGCAAATGATTTCTCGTCCTGGTTCACCACCCTGGAGGAGAGAAGCCATGGGAGGTCAGAGCAGGCGGTGTATCTGCATTTAGTGAAGCATCTTTCTTTGCCTGTTGCATGTTAAAGAGGCCCCACTGATCGCAGCATGGGGAACCCATTACATCATGGGCTCCCCCCTGTGCCTTATGACTTCTCTGCCCATTGCTTACCTTAAAACCATCATGTAGAGGGGGTTGTGGGACAGGCAGGCTACCAGGGCAGCAAAGGAGATGAGGAATATGGCAGGAAGGAGCATGTGAGAGCAGCTGAGCGGACAGGAGCCTGTCTTGGCAGAGGACAGCCCACTCGCTGCAGGGATCAGGGAACAGTTCCTGTAGATCTGTTGGAAACATTTGGAAAAAAACCAAAACATAGAACTCCCAAAGCCAAGAGCAAGAGTTTTAGTGATGCACCAGACCCCATCACTTTGCAGAACACTGACAAGAGCGTCAGATCCAATTTTAAGGCATGGCCATGGGATCCTGCAATGGGGTGTGTCTCCATCCCTATTTCTCCAAGCAGAACCCCAAGGCATGACAGCAATTCTCTATCGTGCCTTCTCAAGACCACAGCTCCTCTGGTAGACCTCCCTGCCTACTAGACTTTACCCTGTTACTGCTTTAGTCAGGTTCCTACAGCATCGCTGCAGCTTCCACTGCCACCAGCGAGCAAGATGTGCTTGGCTTTGCAAACCACTTATTTTACTCACCACTTGTTTGGGAGTGGAGGAATAAGCGGTGCTGTTTGTGCAGCCAGCAAAGCAGGGGGAGATGTACTCCACATTGTTTTCTCCACACACTGGGTGAAAGATGTGCTCAGAGCAGTGGCACCCTGTTGGCGTCTTAACCTGCTGCTGGGAACTCAATGTACTGCCAAAAAAGAGGAGAAAAAGAAGATCATAAAAAAAATGAAGAAATAGGACGTAAAGGATGTAAAATCCCCCTCACTGGCTGACCAGGTTCCCTGATCCTATTTGCACTGGGACACTGCCAGCAGCAGGCTGGCCTTCTGCCAGGCCCTGATCCCCTGCAGGTACCTCTGCAAGTTTACATTGAACTTCTTAGCAGTAATTATGTTATGTCTGCAAACAAGCACTCACACACTTATTTCCCCCCTTCCCAGCTGAAAACCAAACATCCAGATGCCTGGAGAAATACATCTGGGCTCCATCCAGAACTGCACAAACAGATGTGCAAGCAGCCCCAGCTGGAAACACCATTCAGACAGAAACTGGAAGCGGGCTCATTTCCAAACAAGCCTGACAACAGCGTGAAAGTCAAGAGGGCAAACTGAATTATCTGTCCTGTCTTGCCTTACTAGCTAAGGGAACGCATCTGCTGGAGCAGCACAGTCTGTCTTCTACAGGAAGCTGGCATCAGGGACCTGCCCTTGGGCATGGAGGGATGGGGCAGAACTTATGTTAACCCATCCACGTAGTCCTCAGCTACCTGGCAATTTTTGCACTGCTGCCATTGCGGGGGGGAGGTTTCCAAAATAATACAAGGATCCAACCTCTTTTTCCATGCAATTGCCTTCTTGTTACTCCAGCAAAACCTATTCAGACTACTGCGTCCCAGAGGAACAAAGCACTGACACTGGTGGCAAGAGGTGAACACTGTAAGGCCAACATGCCTCCCAAAATTCATCATCTGCAGCACCTGATCTTGAGCTGAGGGTTCTCCTCGCATTTGAAGCCCTGCTCTCTCATGGAAAGCTTGGGATGCCAGTGCCTCAGGGTCTTCCATATACTCCTGAGTTCACGGGGCATGCCGTGCGGATCTCAGAGCACGTATGCATTTGCAGAGTGCTTTGCTTTCCTTCACCATGGCTATTTAAGTGTTTTTTAAGTGGGAGAAGCACATAGACTGCCCTGTTCCTTACCCCTCCAGCGTGCCTCTGGGACAGGAGGCTTATTGCTGGCAAAGGGAAACATCTGTACAAAATCCCCTTGCTGGCAGTGCATTGGGAAATGAGCGTGATGCACTTGGTGGAGTGGAGTCTAATTCTGGGGTGGAGCCTAAATGCAATATTTATCTTAAAAAAAGACATGGTAAGAGCCAAGTTTCCACCCTGGTGAGGAGAAAGGTGATGTCCAGCTGGAACAAAGGGAGTGCACGAGATGCCAATGCGGACATGAGCACTAATACTACTTATTTCTCCCTAGAAATACAGAGTGAAAAATAAACCTTGTTTGGTCAGTACAGAAAATCAGGAATAACTTTCCTCCCAGTCTTTTGGTGCTGTATAGCACTTAGATCTCCTCCAGGCAGTGCAATCGAGGAGCAAGCAGTAAGTAGCATGGTTATGTCTATTGCTTCTTCCCATCCACTGGCATGTATCCCACCCCATGGATAAACAGGTCAAGAGTCGGAGGAACAATGAGCTAAGAACAACTGAATCACCCGCAGTCACCTGAGGGGATAGATCCCATCGATGCGCCCTGTGGAGCAGCCCATGAAGAAAATGGGCAGGCAGATGAGGATGGAGAAGACAAGCACCACCACAGCAAACCGGGGAATGGCCCGGAGGGAGAAGGCAAAGCGCTTCATGATGATTCCTCCTAAAAGCATCCCGAGTGCTGCTGCTGGCAGGTTCACAGCTCCTGCCGAAGAACAAAGGCATTAGCTGAGGGTCCTGCCTGCCAAGCACCTCTCTGTGGGCAGTGGATGGCAGTAGAGGCTTTGTGGACATCGTGGTGGTTGGGAGAACCCGCAGACCCACCTTTACCCACAACAGACCAAACCCCAAGGCGGCTGGCACCGCCAGAAACCTCAGCCTCAGGAACTTGGCTAATCAAGCTGGGCGCATAATCGCTTGCTCTTGCAACATCAATACCTAAAGGGGGCCTACAAGAAGTCTGGAGAGAGACTTTTACAAAGGCCTGTCGTGACAGGACAAGGGGGAATGGCTGTAAACTGAAAGAGGAGAGATTCAGGTTAGATATGAGGAAGAAGCTTTTCCCTATGAGGGTGCTGAGGCACTGGCACAGGATGCCCAGAGAAGCTGTGGCTGCCCCATCCCTGGCAGTGTTCAAGGCCAGGTTGGACGGGGCTTGGAGCAACCTGGTCTAGTGGAAGGTGTCTCTGCCCATGGCAGGGGGTTGGAACTGGATGAGCTTTAAGGTCCCTTCAACCCAAACCAGTCTGGGATTCTACAGGCTTTTAAGCATCTGA